AAAATCTAACACTAAACACTAACGACTGTACTAAATGTGTGAGCTGTTCTTTATAGTAGATCACGGTATCTTTGTTTCCTTACCTGATTGGTAGGTTGTGATTTGGGTGGGCCAAGTGACTGTCGGTTTTGGATGGTACTTTTGTTAGCCCACTTGTCTTTATATCAACAAAATAAAAATGGAGTTTTTTTGATAAATTTATTTTCTAAGAGTTTTATTTTAACCAATTCATATTCTTTTTTACTATTTTAGTAGGTCCAATTTGAGATAAAAAGACCAAAATACCCTTTTCATCTACTTATGTTCCATTTAGTTCACATTATTTTCTTATGTTTCAATAAGTCCTATGGGTGGCATAATTACCAAAATACCCTTAACGTGAATGTTCACACTGTCAATGTAAATGTTCATATCGTCAATGTGTAATGGCCCGGCCCATGTCGATCCTTGTGGGTGTCCGGAAAAATTCGAGTCGGGCCGGGCCGGCCTACAGGCCAAAAAAATAGGCCCAGCCCGGCCCGGCCCGTTGATAATATGAATATTCACATTAACAAGTTAACATTCACATTGATAGGAATGTAAAATTGGCCTACGGCCCGTGGGCGGCCTTAATGTGAATGTTCACACTGTCAATGTAAATGTTCATATCGTCAATGTGTAATGGCCCGGCCCATGTCGATCCTCGTGGGTGTCCGAAAAAATTCGAGTCCGGCCGGGCCGGCCTACAGGCCAAAAAAATAGGCCCAGCCCGGCCCGGCCCGTTGATAATATGAATATTCACATTAACAAGTTAACATTCACATTGATAGAAGTGTAAAATTGGCCTGTGGCCCGTGGGCGGCCCGAAAGCAGCCCGCTGCCCGGGGCGGGCCCGGGTAGCCCGTTCACAATGTGAATATTCACATTGACATATTAACATTAACATTAACATTGACAATAGTGCAAAATTGGCCCGTGACTCGTGGGTAGCCCGAAGCCCGGGCCCTGGTCGAGCCCGGCCCGGCCCGTTGACAATGTGAATATTCACATTGACATGTTAATATTCACAGTGATAGGAGTGTAAAATTAGCCCGCACCCTGTGGCCGGCCCGAAAGCCGCCCACGACTAGTGAGCTGCCCTGGGCGGGACCAGCCCGACCTGTTGATAATGTAAATATTCACATTGGCATGTTAACATTCACATTGAAAAGAGTATAAAATTAGCCCGCGCCTCGTGGCTGCCCGAAACTAGCCCACGGCCCGTGGGCGGCCCGGGGATTTTTTTTAATTCTTTTTTAATTTTTTCTACCAAAATTTTATTATTTTCCACAAAAAAAGACACTAGACCTCGTCGGGCTGCATTCGGGCTTCGGGCCGCCCACGGGCTGCGGGCCAATTTTACACTCCTATTAATGTGAATGTTAACATGTCAATGTGAATATTCACATTGTCAACGGGTCGGGCTGGGCCTGGCCCGCCTCGGGCCGCTGGCGGGCTTTTGGCCGCCCATGGGCCGTAGGCCAATTTTATACTCTTATCAATGTGAATGTTAATATGTCAATGTGAATATTCACATTGTCAACGAGCCGGGCCTACCCCGGGCCGCGTGTAAGCTTCGGGCAGCGGACAAATTTTACACTCCTATCAATGTTAATGTTAACATATCAATGTCAATATTCACATTGTCACGGGTCGGGCCAAGCCCGCCTTAGGCTGCGGTCGGGCTTTGGGCCGCCCACGGACTGTGGGCCAGTTTTATACTCTTATCAATGTGAATGTTAACATGTCAATGTGAATATTCACATTGTCAACGGGCCGGGCCGGGCTCGCCCCGGGCCGCCCATGGGCCACGGGCGGGTTTCGCGCCGCCATGGGACGGGGGCCAATTTTACACTCCTATTAATGTGAATGTTAACATGTCAATGTGAATATTCACATTGTCAACGGGCCGGGCCGGGCTCGCCCCGGGCCGCCCATGGGCCACGGGCGGGTTTCGCGCCGCCATGGGACGGGGGCCAATTTTACACTCCTATTAATGTGAATGTTAACATGTCAATGTGAATATTCACATTGTCAACGGGCCGGGCCGGGCTCGCCCCGGGCCGCCCATGGGCCACGGGCGGGTTTCGCGCCGCCATGGGACGGGGGCCAATTTTACACTCCTATTAATGTGAATGTTAACATGTCAATGTGAATATTCACATTGTCAACGGGCCGGGCCGGGCTCGCCCCGGGCCGCCCATGGGCCACGGGCGGGTTTCGCGCCGCCATGGGACGGGGGCCAATTTTACACTCCTATTAATGTGAATGTTAACATGTCAATGTGAATATTCACATTGTCAACGGGCCGGGCCGGGCTCGCCCCGGGCCGCCCATGGGCCACGGGCGGGTTTCGCGCCGCCATGGGACGGGGGCCAATTTTACACTCCTATTAATGTGAATGTTAACATGTCAATGTGAATATTCACATTGTCAACGGGCCGGGCCGGGCTCGCCCCGGGCCGCCCATGGGCCACGGGCGGGTTTCGCGCCGCCATGGGACGGGGGCCAATTTTACACTCCTATTAATGTGAATGTTAACATGTCAATGTGAATATTCACATTGTCAACGGGCCGGGCCGGGCTCGCCCCGGGCCGCCCATGGGCCACGGGCGGGTTTCGCGCCGCCATGGGACGGGGGCCAATTTTACACTCCTATTAATGTGAATGTTAACATGTCAATGTGAATATTCACATTGTCAACGGGCCGGGCCCGCCCTGGCTCGCGAGCGGGTTTCGGGCCACCCATGGGTAATTTTACATTCCTACCAATGTGAATTTTAAAATGTGAATGTTTACATCATTAAATTGCTAATCATTCAAAAAATATTTATAAGGGTATCAAAATTAAGTATCAAAATTAAATATAAGGGCATAAGTGTCCAAGAAAATAGTATAAATCAAGAAAATGGAATTTATGGAATAAAACTATACATACATGGGACTAAATGGGTTAAAAAATTCCTTCATAGACTTCTTAAGTTAAAACACTTCTAAATTGGACTTTTCAATAAAAATCCCAAATAAAAATGATTTGTAAATATAATTATAGAATTTAGATAAAAGGGTGTGACCATAATAATTTATAATTTTGAATCATTATTATGCTTTTCTTTTAAAATTAAAATGAAACAATTGCAACAGATCATATGAGAGGAAATTTTATATGACCATGTTATTCAATCAAGTTTGAAGATAGGTGATCGAGCATGATATGTAATTGAGTGTCCGACCAAACTTTTGATAGTCAAGCATAATGTTTGGATGTGCAAAATACGAGCAATGGAGGACCAAGTTAGGAATGTAAGTCTAAAATTAGTGGGATAATGCTCCTCAAGTTCAGAAAAATTTGTTGGGTAGGGAACGCGATCTTGCTTAGGGTGGAGCAATATGTATAACTGATGACATGATACTTTAAACAGTAAAATCACAAGGCATAAAATGATCACTTAATTCTCAAACCAAGATAAAGAATAGAATCCCTACTTATACTTCAACTTTACAACTTGCAGAATTAACTTAGATATTGGAGTGTCTCCGACTAAGCACCTTAGATGGGTTCAACATCCAACAAAAACAGTCACATTTTTTTGCGAGCTTTTTTTCATTAATGATTTTTATTTTATCTTTTCAAATTTGTGTCAATTTATTTATTTATTTTTACTTTGTCATTTTGTCTAATATACAAGGATCTACAAAAGTAAAAAATAAAAAAGAAGCTTAATAAATAATTTTTTTTTTAAAAAGTCAATTATTTGTCTTTAATGATTTCTTTTTTTTTCCAATTTTTAAAATTTTAAAACTTTTATTTTATGATAGATCTAGATGAGTAAAACCTAAAAATGTAAGGCTCTTGAAATTTAAAAAAAAAAAATCTTTTATACTAAAAAAGACAAAAAAAAAAAAAAAAAAAAGTCAACAAATTACTTAAAAAACCAATCCAAACTCACTATTTGCGGTTGCAAGTTATCAAAGAGTTGTAAGAGTTCTACATCAAATTTTTTAGTGGTAAATTGTTCCACACAAATCACGTTATTTCATATGAAAATTTTATTTTATAACATGACTAACTTAATCCACCAATAGAATATGAGTAGTGATATGAAAATTTTATTTTATAACATGAATAACTTAATCCACCAATAGAATATGAGTAGTGGTATAAACTTTTGTTACGTATAGCTATTTTGAGACTTGTCATTTTTTTTTAATTTAAAAAAGTGTATATTTAAAAAAGATTTAATTACAAAAATACCATCACCACATTGTTATGATTATGATGACAAATTCCTTATAAAATTTATCTGAAAATAATATTTTCTATAGAATATATCAGTTATTTTCTTCTCATAAACGACCAGCTTCACATATTATAATGCAAATGAATTATCACCCACGTAGGCAACTATAGAAGCCAAACCCAATACCTAATTAGGGTAATTATGAAACTTTTTGTGATTAAAGGGCACCAAATATTGAATGGGTAGTTAATTCTCATTAAGTCATATTGAACATAAGTCTTAATAAAATCGTGGTTGAAAATAATTTTTTGTGACGATTTTTTGTATATGTTGTTAAAAATTGACAATTAGTATTTTTTTTGGTCAATAATTTTTATAAATTATCGACAAAACTTATAATTAGTGAGTTTTTTTTGTGACAAACTTTTCAAACTATCGTTGAAAGTTGAAAATTAACAACATTTTTAGTGACTTTTTTTTAAATTGTCGCTAAAACTTATAATTAGTGACATTTTTGTAACGATTTTTAAATTGTAATTGAAAATTAACAATTACAGACATTTTTTAATAGTGTTTGATAAAAAATGTCATTATTATCATAGAATTTATTGGACAATAACTTATACGTAAATCTCATTTATTAACGTATTGTTTGGGATAATCTAAGTATGTGAATTTTTTGACTTTTTACAAAAAAAAAAAAAAAAATGCAAAAAAATAAAGAGACAATATAACAAAAAATAAAAAGATAAAAAGCACACTCATATTAAAAAAAAAAGTTACGAAACAATACATAATGATCCAAATCTTGTTGGTATTAGTTTTGCATTTGATGATTACTTATATCCTCTTATCAAAATTACATTTTATTTTTCATATTAGGAAAAGGTAAGAGGACATCTAGGAGACTGATCAAGTGAGAAGGTATTCTCAAGGTACATAGCCACCATGACCACCACCTCCTCCACTCCCACCACCTCCTCCATATCCGCCGCCATGTTCACCTCCACCTCCATAGCCAACTCCACCTCCAGAGCCACCACCGCCACCATATCCACCAGAGTGCGCTCCTCCTGCACCACCACCAGCTCCTCCACCACTACCATAACCACCACCTGCTGCTCCTCCTCCACCATAACCTACTCCACCACCACCCCCATTCCCTCCACCCCCACCATAGCCACCTCCATGCTCTCCACCAGCTCCATAGCCACCACCACTACCACCTCCTTTACCAAAACCACCTCCATGAGCTCCACCTGCACCGTACCCAGCTCCACCACCACCACCACTTCCTCCTCCACCACCACCACCATATCCACTCCCATGTTCTCCTCCAGCACCGTAGCCAGCACCACCTCCTTCACCACCCCCAGTTCCATATCCAGAAGAACCATGCTCTACTCCAGGACCATAGCCTCCTCCTCCTCCACCACCACCAGCACCGCTCCCTCCACCACCACCTCCACCAAACCCTGCACCATGTTCTCCACCAGCTCCATAACCACCACCACTTCCAGTTCCTCCACCACCTCCATATCCAACATTTCCATGTTCACCTACACCTCCATAGCCACTACCACCGCCACCTCCAGAGCCGCCTCCACCACCACCACCACCACCATAGTTGATGGTGCCGCCTGACCCCGGAGTGTAGCCACCTCCTTCAAAAGTAAGGAGGGATCTAGTCGCAGAACATATGCCTAAACCCAATAACACAAAGAAAACAATACTCATAATAACTTTGTGGGTAGCCATGGAAGAAAATGTGTTTAAAACCCACAACTATGATTCTGAAATGCATGAAATGGGTGGCTATTTATAGGCATGTGAAGGGTTCCAAAAGCGCGTTTGTATAGTGTAAAGTATATAGAATATAGTAGGAGAAATTGGTCGAAGCACATGGAAAGATTAGTTGGGGAGTCCCCACAATGTGGTGGTGACGGTGGTGGTGGTGCGGTACGAAGACATAGCTCAACTATATGCTCTCACTCACGCTATTTTGACCCACTAGTCTGCTTTTGCTGTTGTACAAATTTCATGATCATGGTATGTATGACTCACAATACACTACTTTGAAACTACCCTCCCAATTCTATTTTTTGTTTTTTTTTGTTTTTGGTTATGTAGGCTATCCCAATTCTTTTTCTTCTTTTTTTTTTTGTTTTTTTTTGTTTTTGGTTATGTAGGCTATCTCGGACCAACTTACGCGCACTAGAGTAAGTCTTTACAGTTCGAACAAGCCTTCTAAAATTGAAATTACGTTCTACGGCCCGTAGCCTCAAGATATGCATTTACTGATTAGGAGATTCGAACCTAAGACCTGAGAGGGAGCAAACCTCTAGGCCCCAGTCATCACCCACTAAGCCAACCATCCTGTGGTTCTCCCAATTTACTTTCACCGTAAAATTCTCAATAAATTTTCATCTATTCATATATATATATATATACATATATAGAGTGAGGTTAGAAATTCATATATTTATATTTATAAATTCATGAATCAGATCCACCATCATTTAGTGTATAAGAAATTAAAAGTTGACATATATGTTATCACATCATTGCGGGAAAAATTATGAATACTTTTTAAGACTTAAACATTTTTCATTTATATAATATAAATGTATGCACCACAACTTGCTGATACTCAGTATTTTTTTGTGGGTTAATTGATAGGAGAGTAATTATAATTATGAAAAATATTACATCATCCAATAGATTAAAGAGAAAAGTTAGGGATCATCAAATTTTTTTCATAAAAATGATCATGAAAGATTTATGATCCTTGAATTACCTTGATTAGTGTGTGGTGCTTTATTCTAAGTGTAATCCAAAGGTCACAAAGATTTCATGATTATTTTCATGATACCTAGCATTGCTGATAGATTATTAGCCTACAATAGCTGGAAGAGTAATGTTAAGTTTCATGAAAAAAATATCATGAAAAATTTTATGAAAATTCTTTACCGTTAGATTATATATAATAAAATATCACAAACTAATTAAATGGTGAAGACTTCTCATAGAATTTTATATAATATTTCTTTGATAAAATCCAACAATACTCAACTCGGGGGATTTTTCCAAGGAGGGTGGTTTGTTTGGGTTGTCAGTTGGCTTTAGATTTCAATTCTAGTAGGGCTGCACATTGACCCATTGGGCCCTAATGTGACTGGGCCTGTACCAGTGCATGCTTCTTGTTCATCAATTTTTTCTACTTTCAAAGGTAAACGATTACTCTTCTCTTTTTTTCTTTTTTTTTTTTTTTGAGAAGGTAATAATTCAAATGATACCTCTTGAGTACTCATAGCTTTATTTAAATTTCACTATGTATTCAAAAAATAAATAAAGAAAAAGATTATAATTTGTATGGTCATTTAGGAGAAGTTTGAAATATTACAACTAGAAAAACTACGAACTCATAAAATTTACACTGAATTTTATTCACATACATTAATTTATGACTCAAAAGTTTGTCAAGTTGAGAAAAAGTTAAAAAGTCAAAAAATTACTTAAAAAGTTAAAAATTTATCACTATTTATCAAAAGTAAAAAATTACGGCTGCACAACTCCCAATCCTAATTTTTTCCTACACACTAATTTATACAATTTTTTAATACACATTTTTTCATAAAAAGCCAAAAAGTTAATCCAAATATCCATATTTTTTTCTCAATTTTTTAGTCCAAAAAGATAAAGAGTACACTTATTTAGGACACCCCCAAACAATCCCTTACTATGGCCTATTTTAACAACATAGTTAAAAACTATTTTTTGACTTTTTGATTTTTTTGAATCACCACACAACATTTATATATATATATATTTTAAAAGTCAAAAAATCAATTTTTAACATACTTCTCAAAATAGGCCCAATTCAATATTCGCCACACAACACATTATCCAAAAAAATCTAGATAATTATATATGGAAGAATAGACTTTCTTATATTAGACCCAAGGTGGCAGAAGGGAAGGTCTACTACTTACTTGTACATATAATTACATTTGGGACTGTGTAGGGGTGGACACCAGTCCAGTAGCCCCCAACTTAGCCCAACTTTGAAGGGCCAAGTCGGATAAAACATTTTGACCCAATCATTTCTGGACTGGGCTTGAGAAAAGTAATTGAGACCCGATTGAGTCGATTAAAAATATATTGAACTATATCTATTGTACACAAATATATATATTGTGTGTGTAGCATATATGCTTTTTTTTTTAAATTAAATATATAGAATGCACTTATGAGAGGGAAAATGCATCCACCAACTACGAAACTATCAATGTTTAGTTCTTAATATATATTTCTTTTCCAATATTTGGATTTGGTGGCTAGTTTGCACTTGTGATATTTAATTAGGATTGAGTTTAAAATAAAATTTTAAAACTCAATGCTAGGTCGGGCTCAGTGCCGTAAACATATATTTTTTTTCCCTAGGTCAAACCCGGCCCAGCCTTGCCCATGGCCACCCCCTTATATCCATTCAAAAAACTAGACAATGAAATCAATAGAATCCCTCCCCTAATGCTGTGTTTGGTTGAGGAATTTGGGAAGAGATTTAGAAAGGGAAAGGGAAAGAGAAAAGGTATGTGAAATGTAAGTATATTTTATTCACATTTCACTTAATTTTCTTTTTCTCTTTCCAAATCTCTCCTTAAATCCCTCAACCAAACACAGCGTAAAAAAAATTAAAAAAAGTTCTATATAGCAGCACATTGGCCCAAATGGGCACTTTTTGGATTGTTGTTGCCACAAGTGTTCGGATAGACCAAAGCCATGGAAGTAATGAACTAGTCTTTGCTCACATTTTCTGAATAAGAAGTTTTATGGCAGAGAATCTTGTGTCAAATATTTTTTTTATAATTTTTCTTAGATGTATTCATAATTATTAAATTACAAGAGAATCTAAAGACATGATTGAATGAATAAAATTAAATTAGAAAAAAAAATGTAAAATTTTGAATATTGAACGTCTCTTAGTGCAGTGTGATCCATAAAGTGAAATAGCAACTCTAATTTTTTATATTTTTTTTGGTTCTAAACTACTAGAGCTAGATTTGGGTTGCGTTTTGGTAGTTACTATATAGCTGGTTTCCCAATTCATGTTGGGATAATTCACAGACTCACACCGTTTCTGGAGATTTATACTCACATTTTAAATGTGTTGATGCCCAAGAAACTAGTCCCAAAGACAACAGAAACCTCGAGATCAATACCAAAATCCTTACCGGTGGGCCACATTAACTGAGCTTTGTTAAGAAAAAGAAAGGAAAACCGAAAGAAGTCAGTCATTGCTGACCCAAAAAGAAATAGAAGTCATTTGGTCAGTTTACTTTATATTTTCTACTTTGTAGCTTTTAGCATTGATTTGATGGTACAACGGTTGCATTATTATGGAATGGCTTTATCAAGAAAGGATTAATATCTATCTATCTATCTATCAAAGCTAGCCACAAAACCAACAAAAGTTGATCCTTCGGGATTTGCCAAAACATTTAACCCAATCCCATGGGGTTGTTCAATAAAGATGAACATGCACTATGCCTATTTCTAGATGTGTATGTACATGCTTCAATGCTTGTGTTGTCAATTTTGAACTATTTCTTGACAAGTCGCATACAACTTCAACAATGGCACTCTAGACTGTTTGGAAAATCCATAAATTTGGAGTAGCTCAGACTCACTCCATTACTTTGTTTGGCTTTTGGGAAAACTTTTCGTTTTTTGTTTTTCCTCACAAAAGATAGCAACATTTCCACAATTACTTATATTTACATAGAATTAATGTGCTAAAATTAAACTTTAAATCCTAGACAAATATAATTTATATATTTCTTTGGGTGATACATTTTATAATCAACTACCAGAAATAAGAATTACGGACAAAATTTTCTGATCCACAAAAGTGAAAATTTTATTGAAAAAATTATTAAAAGATCAAATTTTGTTGTTACAAGGATTGTTACTAAAAAGTTGTTCAAAAAAAAAAATTGGAGACAAATTTTGAAATTTTACTAACAATTTTACTTTCAAAGACAAAATAATTTTGTTTAAGACAAATTTTGATTTCAAAGGATAATAATTAGGTTGGTTGAAGATGATGTTACACGATCTTCAGAACCAATTTTAAAGTGAATGAATTAGAAAGAATCAAACAGGTAGGAAACGAGTAAGGTTTGTTTATAAATTAATTATTTTTGTTGATTTTTTAATTTTTTTTATAAAATTACGTATAAATAAAGTAGAAAGAATGATGTGCAACTTGTAATCATTTTTAAGGTTTTTTTTTTTTTACTGTTATAGCTAGTCCCCAAACAAAGTCCAAACATTCAATTTCGTTAATAATTTTTTCTTTCTTAAATTTTAATTTCTTTTAGTGAATTTATACACACATAGGCGCCGTTTGTTTTGAGGTGTAGAGGGTGGGATGGGATTAGGATAGAGGTGGGGCTCACTTAGTGTTGTGTTTGTTTGTAGAGTTAAGGAAGAGATTAGAATGGATGAGGGGATTAAGATGGAGGTTGGAAAGGAGATTGGGATGGAGGAGGTGGAGGTGGAGGTGGAGGTGGTATTAAAAAAATAGTGAGGGGATTAGAAATTTTTTTATTTTTTATTTTTTACATATTGGGCATTTTTTTTAACATTAACATTTATTTTTTTATATTTTTTTATTTGTTTACTATTTTATATAAAAATAATTTAACAATTCTTACATTAACAACTATCATCAAAATAAACACAATTTTACTTAATCATTTCACTATGAATTCCCTCAATTCCACCTCTGAAAACAAACGGA